AATGGAGTTTGCTGGCGACAACGACGTGGTAGCTGGAGTTTGGGCGTAAAACTGGAACGTTTGGTTGTCAAGAGTGAAAGAGGGGAGTATAAACTGCAGAAATCGGGATGGCACGCAGAACATTCAACATAGGCTGGTGTGGTTCACTAGCCGTTAAGGTGAAACATACGAAGCAGGATCCCTCCTATGATAAAGAGGAGATTAGGGCCATGGTTAGGGTTAGTGCCCTCATGAACTCCGAGTTTCCACATCGCTGGCACAGCTGCCATCGTCAGCACGTTTCGCGTTCATACCACCTGATCTTGTAAGTGGAGCACGGCAGTGATCAATGATGAAGCAGTTCGAATCAGTCCGGGGAGACGCATCCGACACAAGATGGAATTATGGTGCATAACATGAATATTTTGTTTCCAAAATAGAGACGACTGACGGACTCGATTCATAAAACCACGGTACACCGTAAGCCAGGTTATCCAGTCGTTATCACACCAACTACTACTTTCTTTTTGACATTTATACTCCCAAGACCTTTGCATAATACCTTTAAAAAACGGACACGTATGAATGTTCGCTTTTAATTTAATGCATCAGAAAGAACCAACAATCATTTGAAACCCAGACATTTGGACGTATAGCCTAGCACCAAGGGGTGATTTTCATTTGCCGTAAATGATTGGATACAATCATAGCCAATGACTGACGTAAAGGAGATATGTTATCTCATGAAATGCTGACTAAATTCTGCAATGTGTTTCCCATCCGAAAAAGATTGCTTAAGCAGAGTCGTCGTGTTCACTATCGATTCACATGATGCCCAATCGTTCCAGCATTTTCGAGGTGCCTATTTCGGAAGGTTAACTACCATCCTATACCATTGCTCACTCGTCTTGTTTAACTTGCCCTAGTGCCCTTCACTTATTGCACACTCCCTCTCTTGCTCTCGTGCAACCCATCGACATTATTTCTGCTCTTTACTTTCCATCACACCGGACTTATTCTGGTCTGCCTCCACCTACAAAGATCAATTTTTGCGAAGTTGATTTTGCTTATCTGATGTTTCGGATCCTCACTCGAAACTATCGTTCGAGACAGCAACAGAAGTGATTGATGCCTCCGCAAGTTATGAACGTCTTGGATAACGTAAGTCGTCTCCGCGATCGTGTCTCCTTCTCCAAAACTACCTCCTGGGACTCGTCTCTTCACCTCTATTGGTAAGTCAACTCCACACGACACTTGTGGATGGAGCTGTCCGTAGACCAGACGCAACAAATAGGCGCCAGGTAACGGGGCCGAACGACCTTTTGCCACAAACAAAAGGGTCTAGAGATCCTTAATTGGATCTGATGCAATCTTGAGCAATGCAATAGAAAGAGTACCATGTACACGGATGTCCGAACACACATCACCTGTGTGAGGGGTGACACGAATCCTGTGGTCAAGACTCGATCCACGGGACCTCGTCACATACTGGAGTCCGCCGAAGCCGATCTCTTCGCGAGAGGTGACAACCGCTTGAGTTTGGGGATGCTTTAGTTATGAGTCTTTTGTCGACAATCCCACAAACAAACGAAATTATATGTCACTCCTAATCCTGTGCTACGACTTGTCCTGAGCAAAGTAACTGGTCAGACGCGCAGCGCGCGGGAAAATACTACTTCCAGTAGAAGTATTGACGAGCCAAGTTATCGAGTCGTTATCACACCAAACACCAGCGCTGGCGATAAAATCGCAGCCATTAACAACTGGAATGGGGGCGACCACGCCATCGTCGCACCAAGCACGACCATAAGCGATGGAGGGCGTGAGCTATTAATTTTATGCGGTTTGTGGCGGCATAGCAACTGTAGTTTATAAATGCTGCAACACCTGTGCGTCAGATTGGAGTTAATAGCTAGGGTTAGGGGGTTAGGACACCTATTTCTCAACCACTCAAAGCACTACCGCGCATCTCCAACAGCTTTTCTTTTGGCATACAACTACTTGGCCTCGTAGCCTGTGCATCTCCTGGTCTTACTTGTAAAAGTCCCTTTTATCACCGGTCCCGTATTACAGGTGGCTGGGGTTTGTTTACTTTAAGCGGGGCTACTGAACCACATCTGACCGAGGCCGCTTAATTCCTCGAACTCGCCTTTTCGCTTGTGCCCCAGCCAATGCTGTATGAGTACGCAAGGACTGCTAACAGCTACTTAAGAAGCCGTGGATCTGTATGCGTTCTTTCAGTCCCGTTTCTCCGACCGTTTGGACATCGTTTGGGCCAGTAGATGGTAGTGTGCTGACTCGGATGACATTGTAGTCGGTCTCTTCTCCTGTTGCCGTATAGTTTGCTTGCTGGCATTCATCTGCCCATTTTTACCGGCATCTCCCTTGCGTCCAAATAGGCTGTGTGTTTTCATGCATTCAAGATGGGCGGCAATTATGCTGCAAGCACAAAGCCGGGGAGGGAAGGGGGGTAGACATCTGCAGAGCGCAAGTGAGACGGGACTTGGTCGCACTATCACATCTCCAGTCGGAATGACGTGGACTTGCCACCAGTTAATGATGAACGAGGAATGAGGTACCAGGGTCACTCCAGCTGATCGATCTTTGCTCACAACATTAAATCGGTCATAACCACCTATAGTCGCCCCCCTCCCCCACCTAAATATGACTCGGCCACCCGTCTAAAGTCGTGGCTTGAA